GTGTCAAACTTCCTAGCCAAACCATACAATCCCAATATATCCCTAGACAAAATATAATGTTTTCCAACAAAAGACCAATATGAAGGTTTCAAAATTGAGGGAGGCTTCACTTATCTATAACTATGATTTTGAACCTGCAATTGCTGCCATATCCCTGGTTGATATGTTGTATTTCATGTGGCTCTTTACCAGCTGACCTGCTGCTATGGCCGACATTGAAGACAGCTCCCCGACTAACATCGAACCAGCCACTACGGTTGCTAGCAGCCGAGCATTTGACCCTGGTGACTTCAAACTTGCACCCTTTGCTCCAAGCAGGTTCAAGCATGCAGATTGTGACGCTAGTTGCGTCCCTCCTCCCACTATACCAACCTGGAACATGCATACATACAAACTCACTCCAAGGAATGGCCAATAACCAAACCAAACAAAACCTGTATATGTAACCTGGACTCACGGTTTTAAAATGCGTCCGATAGAAGAGGTATCCAGTCCCTTATAAGGAAATCTTAGGTCCCCTCCTCAACCGATGTGGATCTTACAGTATATCCCATCCCACCCCGCCTGGGGGATGTACGCAGATGTGACCTCTACCTTAAGAAGAGAAGGGTTGTTTTTGAAAAGACCCCCCCTGCTATGTTAGAGGTCGAGGGTTCTTTGATCATAAACGATTGGATAAAAACCAACCGGATCGCGCATTGTCCACTTTCCAAATACACTTATTCGACCCTATTAGCCTTGGATATCACAGATTGAGTACAAGGATAATCAAATGTTTACTTTGATCTTAAAGGCACTGTAAAATTGAGAGTATACACACACACACACACACATTCCACGTTTTACATATTTATACGAGAGATCGAAGGTTATAGATAGTTAGAGATCGCAAGGGGGCAGCCCTTTTGTCACCCCCCCCCCACCCGGCCCCACGGGCCGCCTTATGGCGGTCAAAGGTGGAGGCGATGTTTATGAGAGTGCACCCAGCACCTCCTTACACATGTTATGTATGCCTTTATGCCTAGTCGATCTCTTGTAGATCACAATTACAAACTTGGGTGGATCTACTAAGGGCATGTGCCACCACTAAATTTGTTTGTCAAAGTCTAATTTATTTTACGACCCTCAGTAGTGCCACCACTGTGATTCATTTTCTACTACCACTGCCCACTGTCGCGGGAAAATTGAGAGGCTACAGAAGTGTATCAAAGCTTAACAATGGTGGAACACAAAAATCCTAACTGTGAATATTGAAATTGGAATGGATTTCCTAGTGTTTTGCACTGTATTTGGTAACTTATCTACATTTTATTTATCTTTCAATTAATTGCTGTTTTATTTTATCTTTATGGTAATTATTTTGTACCACCGCTGCAAAAAAAAAATCTAGATCCGCCACTGTTACAAAGGCTTTCCTCCAATCCATGGCCGTTAGAAAGTTTGGTGCATCGTGATCCTTTGTATGGGAAATGAAAAACGAGCACCATGAAGAAAGGAAGAAATAAGGAAATGACAAATACCTCAATTGAAGGCATAATAACAGAGATGTGCAAGTCTTTTCCATTATTAACGGCTTCCATCATAGTTATGTAGTGAGAACTCTCGATGTTTTGGGATGGATCCTGACCAGTGGCTATAAAGACTGCAGATACAACATTGGCGGCATGGGCATTGAAGCCACCAAGAGAACCAGCAATAGCTGAACCAGTAAGGTTCTTAAGCATGTTAAGTTCTACAAGGCCAGGCACTGTGGTTTTCAGCACCTTCTTAACCACCTCTTCAGTGATGACTGCTTCGCAAACAACAGATTTTCCACGCCCCTCGATCCAATTAACAGCAGCAGGTTTTTTATCCGAGCAAAAGTTTCCTATTCAACCGCAAAACACGTGAACAGTATTCATGAACAAAAGTTAACATGTTTTAGTTTTCTTAAACCTGCAGCATTCTGTTTCTGTGTGTGTATAAGATGAAATGGAACCAATAAACATGAACCGCAAGAGCAATACCATAAGCACACAAACACAACCAAAAATAAGAAAATAGAAAAACACAACCAACAATTGATTTGATCCATGAACAAATTGAGAGATGGGAGATAGAGATGAAGCATAGCACATCATATGAACCTGTAGAACCCTGTAATCAAGACCATGAAATCGCTAGGGTTTTAAAATGGATATGGAGAAATCAAAAATTCAAATTTAGGTTATATGCACAGATGAGGTCGTCYTGGAAAGCCACAAATTTGATACATCAAATCGGCCATTTGCGCAAAGGTAGCAGCAATGGAAGAAAGCGAGGTCTGACCTTACCAAAATGGTTTTGGCGCACAGGGGAGAGATGGAAAAAAAAAGAAGAAAACTGTTAGAGAAGAAAGAAGGGTCTGGACTTACCAAAACCGGTTCTGGAGCACAGGGAGCTGCTGGAAAAGGATAGAGAAGAGGACTGGCGCACAGGGAGCTACCGGAAGAGGACTTTAACCATTGAAATCAAAGTCAATGCATTATCAAGTTGTACATTATGCTTTATAACTTGTTATTAAGAGTTTTTTGAAATCTATGCATAAAATGGTAGTACTTTGTGTTTTATGGTTTGTAATTAAGACATGAGTCTAAATGTTTATTAATGTAGTATATATATATATATATATATATAGAGAGAGAGAGAGAGAGGAGCG